CCTTAGAAATCAACTGGGCTGTCCCACCTCCCAAGCTCGGTGAGGAATCATCACCCAACCCTCAAAGCCTTGCCTCTGGCACAGCTGATGAGCCTGGTGCTCTTCTACCACCAGTACCTGCATACCAACCAGGAGAGTTGTCCCACTATGAGAAGGCTGCTGAGGCTGGGGACTACCAGTCGGAGACAGAAGAACTAGGTCGCAGGACTGTCCCAGCTACGATGGAGGCTTTTGCTGCTGCGGGTGGACTGGCATCCCCAGGCTTTGCCACAGGACAGTTTGGAATGGGTGGACTGTGGGGTAGTCCGTATCCATCTTTTGACTTCTTGTTCCTGACTGGCCAGTACCCTGTGGGCACAGTCAGTCACTTCAGCCAGGACTACGAGCAGGGACGAGACTACTCTCACAGCACTCACTACCTGAAAGACCACTACTACCCCTACCCCGGCTTTGCACAGTCAGTGGGGACTGTTGGAGCAGCTCAGAGCCTTCAGACTCCCAGCTTGTATGTGAGCAGTCCAGTGGTGGGAGGTTATTACCAGGTTGGAGCACAAACAGTACCTGCTCCTTCCTACACTGGTGTTAAGCAGGTATGTTTCCTAAAATGCCTACATGTGACAATATGCATATTGTAACTGTACTAACTCTTTTCCCTCTTTCCTTTCAGATAAAATACTAGCTGAATCTCAAAGGCATGAGCACAAGTTTAATCAATAAAGTCTTACTTTATTACTCCTGGTCACTTTTCTTATTAGTGGTGGTGTGGGAACGACTAAGGTTGGAGAAATTACATGTAATGTAACTACTGGGCTCAATTTATGATCTGTTAAAAGACCGAATGAGCACCTGAATTTAGACCTGCCCATGTGGGGTTTATGACCTTAAGGGAACTACTTGAGTTTTCTGTTGGCAACCTGTAGTGGGCCAAAAGTGGATACTCCCACTTATGGCCTGGTATAAGCAAGTTTACCCTGCTCAGGCTGTCAAGAAGGGCATCCAGTGTGCTAAGTTGTAGGTCTATATGTTAAGGTGGATCTTACACTAGCAGTAACCTATATAAGCTTTCAAGTATTTAACATAAAAATACTGGAAGGGTTTACTTTCCCCAGTGGGGATTGCAAAAAATGTGGACACAAGAGCAGTACAAGGGAATTCACTGGGAAACCTTTCACCTATGCTACAGACAATAATTTGAATCCGCCACATACGTACACATTCTGTAATCTACTAGATTATAGGAGGGTAACTATAAATAGCTGAACTCCCCCTCCCTTTGCCACATGGCTCCTTCTTTCACAAACATTAGATGAAGAGCTGTGATTTGAGTCATGATGTACAAGGTGTTGACAGGAGAACTGCAGTGAGTTTAGAGCGAAATGATACATGGACCATTTGAGTCCACTAAAGAAAGCCTACTGTAAGGGAAATGATGTACATTCACTAAGAAAACGCCTTCAAAAGTCACATTTGGGTTTCAGGGCTGAAAAATTGTCCAGTACAATTTTTTTTTTTTTTCAAAAAAATAAAATGTTTGTAATTTTTAAAAAAAAATATTTAGGTGGTTTTTATTGCTTTGAACAGAGCTGAGATAGCCCACTCATGCTGATTTGTTTCATGTTTCCTTTTCTTGACCTTTTGCTATAAGTACATTTCCCAAATGTTGAACTGTTGCTTTTAATTTTATTAATTTAAGCATCCCAACAGTACAGTACTTTAAATCACCACACTTTACAGTAAGAGCTTATAAACGGGACAGGTGGTAGCTAAATTGTGTCTATATTTTGCTAAAAGAGAGAAAGCATATTTAATGGTTTCAGTGCGTGTGTGTGTGTGTGTGTGTGTGTGTACAACCATGGTTTCCACAGCAGACGCAGCTGTCCGGCCTGAAGGACTGAGCCTATGTCACTGTAACTCTATTTCGGGAACCTGTGTTGTCCAAAAGGTCAGATAAAGAAGCACAGGAATCCTTACAAAGCAGAGGGCGGGGGTGTCGGGTGAAGGCGGATATTCACAAACCAACACACACACACACACACACACACACACACACGTGTTAAAACTCAGGGCACTGTTGCTGAGAAGGGGAGAAAGGAGTAGTGGGACACAGAGACATTAAGAGGGGCTCCTGTGAAAAGGATTCACCTTTGACTGAATTAAAACGTTAGTGTACCAAAGTCTGATCTGACCTCTAATCCAGCTGATACACACACACATTTATGGACACCATGGATGGAGAATCACCCAAACAGGACACATCCGGTTCCACGGAATCAACCAATCACACTGACACCAACAACAACAGCAACCAGGTCTGTATCATTTATTTATTTATGTATTTATTTATTTATTTATTTAACATGTTCATTAACATTTTCACATTCACCCACAATGACTGTCCATCATGTTCTGCACTGGGAAAAAGCAGTGAGAGTGTTCGTGGCTGTAGCAGGTGCTGTGTTGGGACAGCAGAGCATGAGAAGGGGTTGTTGGCTGCATTTGCTACACCTGTTCTTACTACTTGCTGAAGAATGACACATACACACGTAAATACACACTCACACAAGTTATGCAAAGTAGTGCACATGACACACACTAAGCCACACATACAACGTTGGAGTTTCCTATTCCCACTGATGAGTCACTGCTGTGATGCCTGACCTGGTGTGACTGTTCCTGCAGGAGGTCATTAATCAACAGTGTACATGGGCCTATTTAATCATGATGATAGGAAATAATAATGTATGCATTACACTTTTTTTAATATGAGGATTTTTAACATATGATGTGAGATCATGGGTTTTAAAACTGTAAAAGGGCAATTTTCCCCTTGAAAGTTCCAACTCTGAGGTGTATATTTATAATACTCAACAAATCCCAGAGCTCCAGGTCTCACATTACAAGGACTGTGTTATCCCTCGAGTAACTTGTGGAAAGTCCACTTTATTTATACAGCAGCTTTCATGTAAACAGCTCAAACATTTCACATAGCGAGACCAAGACCTGAAGAACACAGAAAAATCACAAAGAATAATTTTAAAAATACAAATCAGAGTTAATGAAAGAAATACCTAAAAAAAAAATACAACACACAGCAAATGAACTAATGGCTCACATTACAAATCTGAAATAAATAAAATAAAAAACACAATAAACTTTTGTTCATTCTTCATACATTTTTTCATGAAAGAAACAGAAAAAATCCTCTTTACAAGACTGAAAAGAAGAAGATAGTTATCAGAAATGTAAATAACTGAAAGAAAAGAGGAAGACTATCCTCTGAGTCATGTTGAAGAGAAAACATGTGATGTAGTGCCCCCACAGGGAAAGGACTATAAAGAAGCTTCTCCCTTCTTCACAAGGGGTCACCACAGCGGGTAAATCTGGATCTCTGATCTGGCAAAATTCTACATGGGATACCCTTCTTCACCCAAACCCAGGGAAAGGAAATAGCAAAGAAAATTACTGTGTAACCTACACTGTTACTTACACTGAATACTCCACCTTAAACTCCACCTTGTCTTGATGCCTTGGTATAAGGCTAGAATTAAGAAGTGATAGAACTATTGTCACAGATATGTATTACAAGTGTTGGTCACATATTTATTTTTGCACAGGCCGGCGAGCCACAGGTGGTGGAGAATAAAGACTTGGGGGAAGGAGCAGAAGGTCAGAGGGTAATGGAGACTGAGGATAAGGCTGAGGAAGATACTGTATCAGAAGAGGCAGAAAAGGAGACGTCAGGAGACACAAAGAAACCTCAGACTGTGTCACAGTCTGGTGAAGGTGATACTGAAGCAGCTGCACAAGATAAGGAGAAAGCATCTACTGGTGATGAGGTGAAGGATTCTGAACGTGAAGGAAAAGATAAAGAGGAGGAGGCAGAAGAAACCAAGAAAAGAGGGCAAGCGGCAGAGATCCAGAGTAGTGAGACTGGAAAAGATGGAGAGGACATGAAGGGCAAAGAGAAAGAGAAAAAGGAAGAAGGTAAAGATGTGAAAGAACAAGAGGCAGAGAAGAAAAAACAAGTGACGGAGGTAGATGCAGAGCCAAAGGACAAAGGAAAGACAAAAGAAGCAGAAAAGCAGGCAAAGCCCAAAAGAAAGAGTGGTCCCCCCTCCTCTTCTCTCTCTCGACCAAGACCCTCTGCACGCTCCATAAGAGCGTCTGCTAAAAACGACATCATCGCCAAGTTCCAGAAGGGCGCACCAGAGTGAGTAACTACATGATGCTTAGTACCTCAAATTAGAGTGTGACAGTTAAAAATGTTCCTCAAGAGGTTAAATCAGAAACTGTGTTGCAACACTGCTAGGACACCAATGCCTCGCAACTTCAAGATTCAGAAGTCATCTGCTGCCGTGGCTACAGGAGCTTCAATCAAACAGAAGATACTTCAGTGGTGTCGCAACAAGACACGGAACTACGAGGTGAGCTCAACGTAAAATCTTTATCTAATGCGACACATCCGCATTCTAGATCCAGAGGTAAAAGAAGACCTAATTTAAGATGCTCTTCCCATGTGTCTGTCTCTTGACCTTTTTAGGGCATCAACATAGAAAACTTCTCTTCATCCTGGTGCAATGGGATGGCATTCTGCGCTCTGATTCATCGTTTCTTTCCAGATGCTTTTGAATACAGCTCACTGAAGCCAGAGGAGAGGGAGAAAAACTTCACTCTGGCCTTCAAAACTGCAGAGTATGGATTTCTTCGTTCTTTCTTCTCTCAGTTCAGTTCAGCACATTATCACACATGAAAGATAAAAATGGCTAAGACTAAATAACACAATTACAATATTTAAGAGTCGGAACTTTACATGCAGCACATAATATAACAAGGTCACGGTGAAAAATACAAAAGGAGAACTGCTGAGAAAAGAATGTAACTAAAATAAAATTCTGCATGTTGGCTGTCCAAAAAATAAAGTTTTTAGGAAAACAATGTATGGAATAACACTGTTAATGTAAATGCACCTGGTTAGAAATCTCTTATTCATATTACTATGAATGACTGCCACCTTGTCACCTCAACTTGATCCTTTCCCCTACTTTGTGTATCCCTGACAGGTCCTTGGCTGACTGCTGCCCTCTGCTGGAAGTGAGTGACATGCTCATGATGGGTAACAACCCAGACCCAATGTGTGTGTTCACATATGTCCAGTCCCTGTGCCACAGCCTCTCCAAAATAGAGAAAGAGAGGAAGGACAAAGAGAAGGAGGAGAAAGAGAAGGCTGGTAACGAGGAAGAAGAGAAGGACAAAGGAGACGATGCAGCAGGAGAGGTGTCGCCAGAGAAAGATGAGGAAGAGTCTGCTGAGAACGAGACGATGAGCAGTCAGGAGGATAAACCAGTAGACGGTACAGAGATGGAGGGCACTAATGAGGAGGGGAGTCCATCAAAGAGCTGCGAGGTGGAGGAAGGTCAGAGTTCATCAGTCGAGGCAGAGTCTTAGACAGACACTGGCAAACACAAAGACTGAAAAGACCAAAAAAGATTGTTTATGGTACTACAAGGAGCAAGTCTTAGTCTGGCATTGTTGGACTGACTACTGTCGGAGTAATGAGGTACAACAAAAAATCACTCAAAACTAAAATACTGGTGATGATGATGTCTCGTAGTTACAGCGTGTTTGAAAATGTACTTCTGTGTGTGTTTTTTCCATTTACGGATATGCTGTTTTTTTATGTTGTTCTGAGCACGAAAAGCAAGAAATTGCTGTGTATCTATGAAAAAATAATAATGAAACAAAGATCGTGAATTAAAAAGCTGCTTGTGCAATAAGAAAACCTTGAAAGAGTGTGTGACGGATTTACTTTTTTCATAATACACATGAAAAGGTTAAACTATTTCTGGCCTCCATTAAATTGAATGTAAACAACACCCCAAAGCAGGTTTCTCTGGGAGAGAGTTTATTTAAGAGGGACTGAGACCAAGTGTAGGTCTATCCAATTGAAATTTAATATTGCTTTTGTTAATCGTAGACCCCCACATCCCCCAAACCAAAGCGGAAAGCGAACAGCTATCATTACTCCTGTGATGGTACTGGGGAAACATTAATCTATTTAGATGAGGTAACTCCCCCTCACATGTGAAGTCATCATTATGTTTAAATATGTGGAGATATTCTGGGGGATCATATGCTACCATCCAGATAACATGTTCTTTCCTGGAAGGCCTTTTTAAAATGTAAACCCATTGAAAAAATTCGCTGTATCGAAACAAACTAATACCACAAAGCCAACTGTTGAGCAACTAAAACTATATCAACCAAGAATTGCCTTCAAAACTACAGAAATTGTTTTCTTCAAACATCATCACCAGCCAAGCATCACCCCCCACCTCCCAGTGTCCCTGCTTTCTGGGTATTACGGTAATCAGCATCATGCTACCAGGAAGGCCATTGTGTTGTCTCTTTTGTTAAGCTAACCTACTGACCGTGTTGCGCCCTTTTTTCAACACAAATCTCGGTGGCAGCAAAGTGAAACATGTCCACAAACATGCCACCGGGGAGCCTGAATCTGGAGTCACAGCTTTTGTCCATTATGGACGTGCTGGTGAAAGCGGCGGTGGCAGAAATCAGCCAGCTGTTCTCGGAGAGCTCGGCGTCTCTACGTCTGCATTTAACCCAGAGCTTGAAGGAAAACGAAAACCTGAGGACGAGGATGAAGGTTATGAGGAGTGAGCTCTTCTCCCTCAGGCTACAAACCAGAACTAATCGACCAGCGAGCCGCTTTTCTCCCATCAGAGGAAACATAACCAAACCACGAGCTAAGCCACAAGGTAACGATACTTTCACTTTAAAAGTACTTCATACTCGAGTAACAAATAGCACTCCGCCCCCGCCATTTATATAACTAACTATTAAATACCCACCGCTAGTTACTTCAAACTAATAACGTATAAAACAGCTGTTCTAGCTAGTTTAACGAGTTGATTATGAAAATGCAGATGTGCCGAGTAGTATCGCGCATCAGACACAGCTGGCCCTGGTCATGTGACACAGATAACAGAACCAGCGGGTTTTTTATTGTGATAAAAGTTTATTCGGCTTATTAAATGTGAATTCACTCACTTACTTAAACTTAATAATGGTCAGCTAAACCGAAACATAAATAAATAAACAAATACACAAATAAATAAAGACACATTTCGATAGGCTTATTCAAAGCCTCAGTCTAAAATAATTGTTAAGTGGAAGTATGTGATGCTGAATTATAACAAGTCCAACCTCAACTCAGAACATGTGTCTGTCCCTTTAAATACATTTAGTCTTCACCACAATCAAATCAACCCATAAAGAATCAAAGACTCTTACTAGTTCTCTGTGTACACAGGTTATTTATGGACATATTCTATGTTATCATAAATCACTAATATGTTTAATTAAAAATCAATGTCTTACATGATCTTTCATATTATATTTCCTTTATAGACATTTTTTTAAAGAAAAAGTAATGTTTTGTCACTTTTATTGTGTTCACTGTCAGGTAATTTTGAGTGGCGTAAACCACAGAGACCGTAGAGAAATGCCATTAATTCCCCGAGTTTTAAGTTCCATATCATATTTGGTGTCGACATGTCAACTTGTTTTTTTTGCAGAGACAGAACATAAACAGATTTCGTGTTATTAATTGACTGTTTTACGCTCTGCATGAATCTGAGGGTTGATTAATAGCATACCGACTTTATATCAAGCTTAAAGTCAGAGCTGTCTGTGTCTCAAAAGTGTCTGGATTGCCTAATTAATAATTTTCTGCAGCATTAATCCCTTTTCTTAGTTTACAGTTTTATTTTTACGCAATTCAATTCAATTTTGAATTCAGTCTTATTTGCATAGCTCCAAATCACAACAACTGTCAGCTCAAGGGCACTTAATTAATGTATTTTTTATCACCAGTTTATCATCATCATCTAACATCCTTTGACTGGAGTAGGCGACACTCACATCATCATTTTGATCAGGATCATTTTGTGCGAAGAGGAATCATATGACATGTGAAACACTTGTTTTTATGTGAGCGCACACAGACCCCGCTTTTGTGATGCTTGTTATCTCCGCTGGGGGTATTAGGTGTTATTGAGCCAGCTAATGCAACGAAAACCTGGCTGTGTTGAACTTCCTTCATTTTATTCCTGTCAGCTCGTTTCAGCAAACACATGTGACACCAACAGGGAAGTTGCCTCCCCCCCGTCTGTTCTTGACTCTTAAAATCTTTCGTTTTCAACTCGTATAAATACTGATACCAACAGATGAACAAATAACTAACTGAAAGTAAATCAAATATTTAATAAAAATATAGAGGACCTGTCCATATTTGGTATTACAAACTGTGCAGTAAGGCTTTGGTGCAAATATTTGTTGAGACCAGGATGTCTAAATGACTGTGACTCAACTCTTCAAAAGTGCTGTGTTTACATAGCAATAAAAGTTCAGGTTTTGATCAATCTTGAGGTAAAAGTAACACGGAAACTAGTTATAAAAACTAACCATTTTCTGGCCACGCCAGAAATCAAACCAAACTGAACTGAGGGTATGAACTCAAAAAAGAAATAATATTAGAAATATTAAAAAATGATCAGCTGTAATAACTCTGGCCTGCACAATATGAGGAACCAGCATAGTGCTGCAAAATTGTTCTGTATTTCAAAGACTTTATAAGCTTACAGTTTCTTCTGCTTATCTAGTTCAGGGTTGCAGGGAAAACTTTCACATTTAGACTGCAGGTGTGACAATGAATCTAATCTCTGAACTGTGGGTGAAAGCTAGAGTACCTGTAAAGAACCCACGCAGAAAGAACACACAAACTCCACATAGTCTGAATTCAAAGCAGCATCGTCTTGTTGTGAGATGACAATGCTGACCACTGCACCACCAGGCCTGTCACACTCTATAAGTGTCAGCGAATAAAAATGCTTTGAAGCGTGCATATTCAGTGTGGCCCTGTAGTTCAGTGATTTATACATTTACTAGCATTGCAGTTAACATTGCTTTAAATAAAACCAACCACCACAAGTCTTTCCAGGGTGGTGCAACAGTACAGCTAATAAAACAGTTGTGGGTTTGAGGACAGTAAAAGTATGATTGTTGCTCTTCTGTGACTACATCAACACCATCTGTGGTCACAGTTATTTAAGTTACCCTCAAAGTAGTAGGGTGCTGGGTTCAAATCTGTGGTTTCTCATGCTAATAAAAAGGTTGCTGCTGCTTATCTGGGGACAGGACACTCTCGCAAAAGACATTCTTAATCGAAGGAGTTTCACTTCCTGGTTAAATAAAGATTAATGAATAATAAAAATGTGTTTTCCTTTCCTTTCCTTCTTCAGTTCTCATCAAATCACAAGTGGCTCAAAAGGCGGGTGGGGAAGCTGCTTCTATCGTCCTGCAGTCGGAGAAAAAGACCACCTCGTCAGCAGCTCAAGTGCAGGTACATGCAGTCCATAAATGAATAGCAGTAGCTCTGTTTGAAATCTAGTTTGCTCATGCATAGCTGTCCTTAATGTGCTAGTGTGCAGATGTGGAGAGTCCAGATGTCATTCTAATCAAAGATGAGGATGATGTGGGTGGATGTGGGCCAGATGTTGGTGGTGAGTAGGATTTTTAAGTGAGCTTAAAGGGCTGATTAATTATTATTTTTATTTGTATTTTATGTCTTTACTTGTCGTCACTACAGCACACAGATTCTAAAAGCCTAGATTGTCTATCTTCTATCTTAGGGCTGAAAAACAATTAAACCAGGCAAGCCGAGAATAGGAGGAAGAAAGTAGATCAGACGTCAAGCATCTGATAGAAAGTCTCTCTTTCTAAATTACACACAAGCAGTTCCTCATTGATGAGTGCTGAGTAAGACTGGCCTAAGCGCTTCTGTTTCATAGTGGCCTTTAAAGATGCTATTCTCTGTCTTTTCAGATCAGGTTGACTTTAGAAACCACAGTCTGCAGGGCGGTGTTGCAACAGGAGCTCAGAATTTGGAGCCAGCTGGTTCCTCTTGCTCGACAGGTGATAACGAGGAGCTGAGAATCGTGTGCGTTCACGGCCGAGGCGAAGGGCCTCTACAGGATGAAAGTGACACCCTCTTCTCTGCGTCTGAGCTTCAGGCTTTTAGCTCTCTGTCCGACCACAACGTGGGCCACGACAACCTCCTGAATTTCACCACCGGCGCAAGTGACAGAGCTCCAATGAGAGTCACACAGGATAACAGTGCCGGACTGGTGAGAAACAACCAACTTGAAAGAAATAATTCCACACAAATGGCTCCGACAGCATTGAACCCTGGATTGAAATCGCCACTAGTAGTAACTGAGGGTCAAGTGGGGCACCCCAGCCACATGAGCCAGTTCCCACAGCAGCAGAACGTCTTCTCTCACACCGCCAACAAATCCCTGGACTGCAACTTCTGTGGCGAGCGCTTCCACAGCCGCGAAGACCTCATCGTACATCGCGCGAGTCACACCGGGGAGTCTCCGGTCCCTTGCTCTCTGTGCGGCAAGTCGTTTGTCAACAAGACCACACTTAGCATCCACATGCGCATTCACACGGGCGAGAAGCCGTACGCATGTGCGCAGTGTGGAAAACGCTTCACGCAGAACGGCAGTCTGAAGATCCACCTGCGGACACACTCCGGAGAGAAGCCGTACACCTGCAGTCAGTGCACAGCCAGTTTCAACAACCCCAGCAACCTTCGCAGACACATGATCACACACACCAACGGGGTGCTCTGACCCCAACGGACTACAAAAGACTTGATAGACTTTGCAGTTTAGAAGCACTTTTACTGTCATTTGTGCCACAGTGTA